TAAAAAAAAAAAGAATTCAAACGAATACGTTTAAGTTACCAAGCAGAGTGTCTGGACAAGTATAAATGATCCAATTTACAAGGTTTAACTTAAGGATCTTAACTTTATTATGGTTTAAAAGCCATAACCAGGGGCTGTGGAAATAGCTCAGTGTCTAAGCGCCTGCCTATGCAAACGCAAGGACACAGGGTCGATCCCTGGTAAGGCATGCTGTGCCGGCCACGCCCCAGGCGTGCAGAGCTGACCACCAAGACCCAGCATGGTGGTGCATGCCAGTAATCCCAGTGCTGAGGAGACAGGAGGACCACTGTGAGTCCGACCTGCATAATGAGACTCTGTACCAAAACTAAAATTTAAAAATAATAAAATAAAAGCCATAATCCCTCCCCAAAACATTCATAGTCATATTTTGAATTGTGACATTTTCCTGGGCTAGTGATATGTCCTGGGTAGCAGAGGCCGAAGCAACCCAATCACCCATAGCATCCCCAGACAGATACCCCTTTGTCACCCAGTATCTGAAACATTGAATTGATGAAGACACACCAAAGTGGCAGGAGTGGCAGAGACTTATGAAAAGGAAAGCACCCTCCGTAGAGCAGGAATGGGCTGATGATAAAGCTCAAGAACAAGTTGAACTTGGAGCAGTTTTAGATTTGGGGCTAAAACACACTTGGGACCACAGGTGTAGTAGGGCTTGCCTGTAATCCCAGCCCACTGGAGGCTGAGGCAGGAAGATTACAGGCGTTCAAGGCCAGGCTGGATACATAGCTCAAGGTCAACTTGAATTACATAGCTAGACCCTGCCTAGAAATTTTTTTTTTAAACTTTATTATTTATTTATTTATTTATTTATTTATTTATTTTGTGTGTGTGGCCAGCTCAGCCCACCAGGGGGCAGGGCTGGCTGGCATGTGGTGCTGGGGGATTGAACCGTGGTCCCTGTGCTTTGTTTAGCTTAGTTTGTTCTAAGTAGGTGCCTTAGACCACTGAGCCATCTCACCAGCCCCCCTGCCTAGAAAATTTTAAATGAAATGAAATACACTTGAAAGAATTCCAGGCAGGCAGACTCAGAGGCTTAACAGTCAGTAAGAAAAGCCCACCCTCAAAAGCCAAAGACAGCAACTGGAGTGAATCCCAGGGTGGGCTTTTCTTTTGTTTTCCTAGGTGGCGAGGGTTGCCAGGGGTGGTAACTAGCTAGGCTCTCTCCGGTTAAGGAAAGTCTTCCACCCTCATGTCTGAAGGGGATTTTTTGACTTTATATGCCCAGGGGAGCAGAGAACCAGATGAACTGGGCGAAAAGCCCCATGCTGGTGGTATTATAGTGACTGTGGGGGGTCACTCTGGGTTATTCTAAAGCAGTGCCTGTCCCTCAGACTTGTGGCAGAGGTCAAGGAAATGTGCTAGGACAAGCATATATTCTTTAGCATTGTGTCAGGATGCTGAGGAAATACGGTGAGAGCTGGATGCCTCTGTGGTCTCCAAGGACCAGCAGGTCACCCGTCCGTCATAGGTGTAAGGCTGCAATGTCTCTCCCACATCCTTTTGGCTTCCACAGGGCCAAGATGGTAAAGGACGTATACTCTCCAGTGGAACATTGCTGAGCAACCGGTTTGTGTGGGGTAGCGCTCTAAGTGCATTTACAACTTTCTGTATTTCAGTTTACAACAGGTTAATGGGGACGTAACCCCATTGTGAACTGAAGGGCATCGATCGTCCATAGATGAAAACTGTAACTGTAATTATGATGACTATGAACCCTAGACATGACCAACCCCAACCTGCATCCTTATCAGTCTTGGGGTTCCACGTGTCCTTCTTTTCCATCAGTGCTACCACAAAATGGCTTATCTTGGACCCACTCTGCCTTATCCCTCAAGCACAAACAAGAAAAGGCCTTGGTCCCATCGCTAGGACAAAATCCCTGACAGCCACAATCTAAAAGAGAATTTTATTTTGCTTGATAGTTTATGTTCCTGGTGGCTGGCTCTGAGGCATAAGCCTCATGGTGGAAGGGCCCAGAGCAAAGCTGCTCATGATGTGGAGGACAGGCACCAGAGAGAAGGGAAGGGCCAAGGCCAAAGATAAACCTACCTTGGCCACACCCTCACGGACCCATCTCTTCCAGCCACACCCTGCCTCCTAACAGCACATCCAGCTCTGACCTCATCCGTGGCTCATTCCGCTGATGAGCACAGCAGTCACCTGCCGCAGCCCACCTCTGGGCACAAGAACCTTGAGGGGGATGTTCTAGATCAAAAACATTACAGTTTGTTACATCAAGTACTTAACTGAAAAAATGGAAGGACACAGCTCAGTTTCAGAATACAGAAAATTCAAAGTAGCTGCAGGAGTCAACCGTGTTCCCTAAAACACTCACGATGAAGGGCCCTGGAACAGTTTCTGAGAGCCATGCATGTCTGGGGGGTGAGGGGGAGGAGATCTGGTCCATGGGTGAAAGGTCAAACTCCAGAGTTCTATAACTTTCCAGGATGCACTCTCCCAGCCCCTCCAGTCTCTAGTACCAGTTTGGCAACTCATCCTGGGTCTCAGCCGATTCATGCTTCACCAAGGTCTTCCAGGTTTCATTCATTTTCCTGTCCACTGTAGACTGTTAAGCTGGCCACGTGGATGACATTTTTGTTAATGTGCCTGTCCCTTAGTCTTTAAAGAAATCACACACACACACACACACACACACACACACACCCGCATGTTCATGTGCATGTGTACATATCATTTCAGCTTTCTGCCTTTTCTACTCCTCTATCCTAAACCAGGATGAAGGAAATTACCCATTCCTGCGGGTAAGTGAGTAGACACCACTTTAGCTTTGTCCAGCCTGTGGGTTCATTCTTTGGAATTATGATTTCCACATCCATGGGCCCTGGGGGCCAGGTCGGTCTTGTGTGACTCCTGGCATCCCGATTGGAGCTCATTGAACTTTGGGTGGATCCCTGAACCCAGTTGTGTTACACAGAGCTCCTGCAGTAGCTGCAGACAGAGAACAGTACCTGAAGGCCAGAGACAAATGCAAACACTACCCTCAAGTTCTGGATGTTTCCAGCCTTTCCTGAGGCCTGCTGAGCTTAGAGACTTTTCAATCCTCCTTAATGTAGAAGAAAACACTTAAACGATCTTAACTTGTACCCAATACAGAGTTGCTGCAAAGCCATCCTCCCTGCATCTGGGCTCTCTGTGTACCCAGCAGTCCTTCCTTGTGTCAGTCAGCTTCACCCCCTCCACTCTGCTCCATGTAGAACATAAAGGTCACAAAGGGGAGGCGGGGACACAGACTCTACTTTCTGCCCCTCCAAATGCTGACTCTGTCCCATGCTTTTTATTGCAGAGGAGAGAGGTCACTCTTCAAGTCCAGGGTGATTCCTTTCACTGAGATCTCTATTTCACATTTTTTGTTTTTTTTTGCCCCTTTAAGAATGTGGCTCCCTCACTTACTCTTTCTTCTCCTTCATGTATATTCAACATTTTTCTCTCCTGCTCTTTGATCTCAGCATATAAATTTGATCAACCAGCCCAACCTTTGCAGAAGCCCAATTTAAATCCCACAGATCATTAATTTTTCTCGCCTTCAGCCCCCCTTCTGGGAGTCCACACTTTCCATTTGCGCTTATCTGTGCTTTCCCCACAGGCACCTTGGGGACTGAACCCAGGACCTTCACACTGAGCTACATCCCCAGCTCTTCAGTTTTTAGTTTGTTTGAGACAGGAGCTCATGAAGTCACTGAGTTTATCAAGGTAGACTCAAACATGAAGTCCTCCTGCCTCAGCCTCCCAGAGTGCAGAGATTTATACATTCCTTGGCCCCTGTGGCACCCACTCTCTTTAGAACGTGGAACTCTTCAGGCTCATTCAGTCACTCAGTGTTGTGCGTCATTGTTCAACACCAACTCTGAAACTCTTTCCTAGGTTGTTTCCTGTGACATGCGTTCTCCCCTAAACAACTTCTTCATATGCCCTTAACAGACTTCCTTTTCACTTTATTTAAATTTACAAACAGTCCAGTCTCCCTTCCCTACCCTGTCTTTCCAGTTGCCTCACAAGCACCCATGTGAAGCAGGTTGGGTAGAATCCAAATCCTCTTTGTCTGTTAAAAATCTTGGAAATAAACCAACC